TTAAGTTTTACTTTTGTTTTTGTCTCTTCCCACTAAAATGTAAGTTCCAAAGACAGGAATTTTTTTCATTTTTTTTTTCAGTGCTGTATCCCCAGTGCCTCAAACAGTGCCAGGCAGATAGTTGAAACTCAAATATTTATTGAATAGAAGAATAAAGAAGATTTATGTTAAACCTAAAACCACTCACTCACTTTAATGCTCCTTTAATGCTAACTTGCTTTTGAACATAATACCCTATTCTAAGACCTCCCAATAGAGATCTACTGAAATCCTCCCTGTCAGGAAGTGACCAGCAAATACTGACATGACAGCTATCTCAATATAACATCAAGGTCAATGTTAGTACATCAGCCTTCCCATACCTTGTAGGAGTTTTGTCATTTTGGAACAACATAGTACAAATTGCAGGTAAACTTTAGTTAGTCACAGCTTAGAAACAACCCATGTAAACAAGAAACATTTTTTTGTTGTTTCTCAGATACCCAGGGTCATCAAAATAGCAGACATTCAAAATGCTAAATATTGATGATATACCGATTGTAGTCAGCCATCAGCCATCTCACTCGAAATTGAGTCACATGGTATGAACAGAGGCTGAAGTTTCCATGTGGTTTTCCAGAAGTAGGTTACATGTAGACATGTTTGAATAGTTAAGGCCATTGGCTTTGGGGTCAAACTGACCTGGCTTTGAATTCTGGCTCTGATGCTTACTAGCTATGCAAACTTGAGTGACTTACTTAACCTCTTTGAACTCATTTTATCATCATCTGCCAAATGATTTGAACACTTAGATCACAGAGTTGTTGTGGGTTCAATGAGATGTGTTTGGCAATTATGACCAATGCATAGTTAGTGCTCAAAAATGGTAATCATCATACTCATTCTGGAAAAACAAAACAAAGTTACAAATACTCAAAATGCTCAAGTATTTTATGAAACACAAAAATAGCAAAATTGTTTTCCGCAGTGACATCCACTGTGACTCAGGTTCCAAAGCTTTCCAAAAATAGGGCATTTGTTATGTGCCTGGCACAGTGCTAGGAAGTAATGCTGCAACAACACATAAGACATATTCCTGTCCTTCAGAGACTCACAGTCTTATGGGGTAAACAGCCAAGTAAATAATTATCACTCCCAGTGACTGTGCCAGAATGTAGTTCAGCTTCTTTCCTACCACCTGTTTTCAGACTGGACTACTGGCATCCCTGGGCATCATTTAAATACCTATACCTTACTTTGCTTGTGTATAAAATGAGGTAATGCCTTGGTGTCCTAGTTTATAAAAAGAAAATAGTCAACCCCAACTCACTGGGTGTTAAAAAGCTGAATATCAAGCCCTCAACATAGTAACAGTAAAAGTTGAAGACCTGTCCACTGCTTCATTATTTTAGCCAGCAGTGCAGCTGTCTTAACATTTCAAAGACACTAGAAAAGATCACTAGAATTTACTGTTAAGAAAGCATCATACCTAACTGTGTATATCATGCTCTCAATTGTGTTAAAAAGGTGGATGAGACTGTAGATTTGCTACAATCACCTTTGCATTTCCCACAAAAAAGCTCCTAACAGTAGTTACCTGTGTGTAGGGGAGAAGACTGGTAGGTGGAGAGAGGTGAGTGATAGAATAAAATTTTAAAGTATATATACATACATACTTATATATACATACATAAATATGTATGATGTGTGAATATATTCAAAAATTTTTAATTAAAATATTTAATTTTTTCTAAAAGCCAAGAAAAAATGGGGTAATGAGATGGCCTAGAAGCTAAGGTAGGAAATTAGCTGTGTAAATACCAGTCCTGTAAGGACAGGGCCACAGAAGAGGCCCAGCTCAGTGCCTCGGCAGTAGAAACTGCTCAGCAGAACTAAGAAAGGGCTGTTCTCTAGTGAGCACTTTAGAAATCCCATCTGAGCCCTTCCCTTCCTGAAAACTTTGACTGAATCCCCATTAGCCTTCAGAGGACGCCTCAGCTCTTTAGTGTGATGTTACTGATTCCCCACACTCTAGCCCAAAACATATTTTCCTCATTTTATCTCTCTCTTGTCCCAGTTCAAACCCTTGGGTTCTAGCCCCAATCTGCGCTAACCACACCCAAAACACCTTCCACACAGCCACTCTTCTCAGGCTCCAGCACCTGCTGATGGTTGTATTGCACTAAGGCAGTTTGTGGAGGGGGAGGGGCAACAGGGGATCAAATCTAAGCCTTATTCTGCTACACAGGCCGAACACTGAAGTGCACCTTGGACTGGGCTGGAAGGAAGAGGTCCTTTTTTGTGATTGGTCTGCTGAGAAGGAGGTCTTACTGTGTCCTTGAGCAAAAGTAGCCCCTGCATTTGCTTCATACCCTTCTCCCTTGCCTCTAATGACTTCCTTAACACTTCAAACTCATATCTGACTGTGCTTCTTCATAAAACTTCCCCAAGCCTCTACAACTCTGTAGTGATTCAATTCCCTCTTAAATTCATACAATTCCCTTGCCTTCTAATCATAGCATTATAGTTTTGTGTTGTTTTGATTACTATTTAATTGTGTTTTTTAACTTTATGTGAGCATGTTCTGAGCCCCAGCTAGCTTGTAAGCTCATTAAAGACAGGACAAACATATCTTTGGGGTTTTTTTCAGATTTCCCAGGATAGTGTCATACACACAGCAGATGATCAGTAAACATTTGTGGAACAAATCATATATACAAATAACACCCCAAGCAAGAGTCAGTCTCAGGGGAGTTTGCTGTACGGCAAGAGTTTTACTGTACCAAAAGCAGGAAGAAAAGGCAGCTTCAGGTATTGGACCTGGCATAAAGGCCTCATATAAAAAATCTGAAGGGTCCAAAGACACCACCAAGACCACATCAGTGTCTTGGTTTTTAGCTTATTTTCTCTATTTCTAGATATCATGGAAACAGGCTTCCTTTCTAGTCAGGGTCTCCAGATCCTAGCAATCACTATCAGGTTTAGGGACCATCATCATTTCCTATCCAGCAACTAAAATCATACATTTTTTTAATGTATGCACTTATCAGAATGGGTAAATAACTGGCTTGTATTTCCCTTTGTCATCTAATGGAGATTGCTGCATTATCAACTGATGCTGGAAGTGCCAGAGGAAGATGTTTGCCATGAAGTTATTTTGGGAAATATTCTTGTGTGCTTTTTTTTTTCAGAGCGTTGCAATGGCCAGTGTTTTTCCTGTCTGGGCTTTACCTGACCTTAAAAACGGTCAAGGGCAGATGTAGTTCACTGCTTGTTCTAGAAGATTTCCACTGATCAGATCACTTTTCCTCTCCGTGGCCTCCTGGCTGACTACCACCCCCTTCATGAGACTGCATCTTTACAGGACCTGCTGATCCTGCCATTGCCCTTCAGGTCATCGATTGCTGCTTTAGCAATAACAAGGCCTTCAGCCTTGGTTTTTATTATTTACAGACTACATTCCGCTTTTTAAAAGAACTATGCACATTTCAAGTATTTTGACCAGATGTAGGGAGAAGGCTTTTAATTTTGGAAACCAACTGAGGATATGCCAGAAAATGAACAAACTCCAGTATAAACTAGATATCTGCTTTCAAATACATTTTCTGCTAAGGACCCCTTTTAGGCTCTGAGTAAAATTCAAGTATTTGTATTTTATGCCATATTCTTATTTTTTAATATCTCATTTACCATCACCCATAAATAACCACAGCCAGGATGTTATCTTCTGGCCCTTCACTTTAGCTCAGCATTTTTTTCCTTCAAAAATATCTCTTCTCTACCTGATAGCCTATTCGGAGGGAAAGACAACCTTAAGACCCAAGCTTGACCCCTCTTTGGGAACAGAAACGAGATAAGAATCTGAAGCAGGTTCTGCGGCTGCATTGTAATGTGATTAGAATGAGTATTAGTTTTTCATTCTGTACAGCATCTTCACCTACCAAATAGGAGACTGAGCCATCTCTGCCTCATGGTGAATCAGATGTTACGACACATCCAGAAAAATTAATAAAGCATCTTGCAGAGTGGGTCTACTCAGTATTGTGGTTTTCACTTTTCATTTGTCACAGGCAGGAACATATCAAACAGAAGGCAGAAGCTCTGGAATTCATGGGAAAAATACTCTCCAGCTAATGCAAGCAAAAAGAGACTTCCGTTGTTAAAACACATAATCTGCCGACCCCAAACGTTCACATAAAGAGTTACGAAGAAACACTAACCGTAAGCTCCGCGACCCCTCTTCGGCCGCCGTGGCGGGCGGAGCTTTGCCCTGGCCACGCCCCCTAGCCTAGTCCCCTGAGGGGCGCGGCTCACCCCGGCCCCTGGCGCGGGCGCTGCGTGGAGTCAGCTTTGCCCCTCCTTCCCTGCAGGAGCACTGAGGGATAGTTTTTGCGCCTGCGTCCTGCGTTGCCAGGCGCCTCAACGCGGCCACCGCCCGCCTCCGCTGCCCGCCCGAAGGCCCGTTGTGCGCCTGCGCGTTCGCGCTCCCGCCCTCTCGCTGCGCTCGACCGAGTCAGTCTGTCCTAGTCTGTCCTCGGAGCAAGAGGAGGGAAGGGGCTTCGTAGAGCCGGCTGCCGGGTTATCTTCTCTCCCCTCCCTCTCTCCCGCCCCACATCTCTCGTCACCCCTCTCCCGCCCTTGCTCGCGCTGCCATGGAGCCGTCGGCGGCCACTCAATCTCCGTCCGTCTCCTCGTCGTCCTCCGGGGCCGAGCCCTCCGCTCCCGGCGGCGGGAGCCCGGGAGCCTGCTCCGCCCTGGGGGCGAAAAGCTGCGGCTCCTCCTGCGCTGGTGAGGCGCGCCGGGGGACCCCGTCCTCGGGCGGGGCGGGGGACTAGCGCTCGGGGGAAGGCAGCCCCCGGGAGCAGCGGCCGGAAAATGAAAATGGGCTAAGGGGGAAGGGAGCGTCGGGTCGTGCCGGCGGGGAGGAAATAACGGGGCGCGGGGAAAACAGGTTGGGGGCGGGGAGGCGCTGTAGAGAGCGGGCGGGTGGGGAAGAGCCGCAGTTCGGGAGAGCGGTCCCCCGAACCCCGGGGGGTTTGGTGGAGGATCAGAGACTGAGAGGATTGGGGCCGGCTGGTTGTAGGAGGCACGATTAGGTACGACTTTGAGGGGATGGTGGTGAAAGGGTGGCATTGCAGGTGAAAGGTTTGCCGACAGGTGTTGACGTACCGTCATGGTAGTCTTCCAAAGATATGTATGTATTTGTGTGGGAGGGGTTGCCCATAGGGAGGATGGGGAAATTTAATGGAAATGTTGTAGCCGTTTTCTGTGTTGTCTTCATTTGCCTTTAATTTTTTGTGGCTAGACTTTCTAAATGCCCGATTTTTCTGAGGCTCCGAGGTGGGAGGCAGGATGAGAAGAGGTCAGGGATTTGGGAGGGAGCTGTTGATGGTCCAAGATGGATCCGTGGCTGCATCTGCAGCACAGCCTGCTCTTCCCCGGCGCGGCGTAGGGGTGGAGACATGCAATCCGTGGCTTATAGTCTGGATAATACAGTCATGCCAAGCCATGAACATATTTTTATTTTCATGCTTTCTGTGAGCTATTATCGCAGTATAACAAAAAGGGGTGTTTACCGCAGAAAGGGGGGAGGGGGAGAAAATTCAGACAAAGCAGGGACTGGTTGATCCCCCTTCTCCCATTTCTGAAAGACTTGGGAGGGGGAAGCTGCAGGCCGCTTTTAGTTTCCATTGTATACACGTCTGCCTGCTGGTGGGAGCTGGCTGGCAGGCTCCCCTCGTGTCGAGGATCTGCAGTGCAGATGCCTTCTTGAGGAAAAAATGCACCATGAGCAGGTGGTGGTTCTTAAAGGAACTGTCTTTGAAGGAATAAAAAGCTTTGTATCAAAAAGGAAAGGCAAAAAAGCCTGGGAGACAGAATTTTGCACTCTGGTTACTCTAAAGGAATTTGATGGGTTTTAAAATGCTTTATTTACTCTGCTTTGCTAGAATCTTGGGATGATTATTCTAAAGAACATACATTTTTTGGCCTTAGCTTTAAATTAAATATATTCTCTATGTGTTTTTCAAACAGTGGATTTCCACATGAAAGGTTTGGTACTCTGCTGGATTTATCAATGTGGTTATGATCATTTTAGTAGAAACATTATCAGAGGAAGCCTCTGCAAGGTCAAGTTTAGCTGTTCAGATAAAGAAACCAGGCACAAATTTAGAAGTCTTTCTCCCTTTAAACCACCAGCGTTTCTCTTCTAAATTTTTGTGTTCTTGGCAAAAGTCCAGATGAACAGCAGTCTCCCAATAACTTAATAACTTGGTATTTTGGCTTTAATCACTTGTCATTGCCCAGTTGTTGGCCCTTTTGTGCATACCTTCTTGTTTTTAACGATTTTAAGTTTTTGATTCACTTGAAAAATAAACTAGGTAGATTCTCTATCTTAAACTCTTATCCATTGCAGATATGTATTAATGTTGTCTAGAAAGCATTAGTACAATTTTGGTAGGCCCAGGGGCAAGATTCTCATTTGTCAGATCAGGACTTGAAAAAATTTAGTTTAAGGTGCTTTAGTGTAGTCATCATTTCATTGCACAGGCTCTTCCTCATTACAAAATGTTTTCTACATCTCTCAGAGGAAATGTCTCCAACTTCCGTGCTATGAAAAATAAATGCAGTTTTTTATTCAAGTGTATCATTACAAAATTAACTCATTTAAAATTATACTGAAAAACCTATGTTGCTTTAAAAATCTACAAGTGTTGATACTGACCTACAGCTTCACATTCTTTCACCAAGTTCCTCTTGGTTTTAGAGAATTTCAAAGAATAAAAGAAGAGTAAGGGATTGGGTCCTGCAGGAAACAATTTTGTCTGGACTGACCCATCCAGTAACAAATTTCAGAAATATTTGTTCCTGCCTAAAAGCAGAGAAAATATGGATGGCACTCTCTGATTCAGTGCCTCAGGTACTGATACACCCAGCAGTATAATGTGCTCTGGTCAGGGGCCAGAATTGGCTACCCAGATTTCTGCCTTTGAAGGAAACCAAAAACTTCAAAGGCAATAATTTGAGGTTGAGGTAAAAGAGACTTAAATGTTTGGTGTTCTTTTCAGGATGAGGGTTGCCTTTATTCGAATCAAGTATAGGTACATGTCTATTGTGTGAACATTAAAAGTGTTTTAATAGTTTACTGGTTACAGCTTTTGAAATTCTATAACCTGTTAGAGACAGGTCTTTATTATTTCTGTGAAAATCATGCTGCCAAAATAAAGCTGTATTCCCTCTATCTGGTTATGGAATTACTCAAAGCAACAACAGTTTGGAAAATTAAATAAAAGGTTTTGCTTTAAATATTTGTTCCTTACTCATGAAACTTACTTCTTTTTAGTGTATTCTTTATGGCATCATTTTCACACTTTGTTCTAACATGTCAGTCAAATGTATGCAATTTGTATTTTCATTCTTAACTCTTAAATAAAAAGGAATTTGACCAGCTCTTCAACACTGACATTACCTGTATTGTATTCATGTCATATTATCAGTGGCAGTATAGCATGTTGATAAACACACAGACTTGAGCCCTCAAAGACATTTAGATTTCAATTCTCTTTTATTAATTATGTGAGGTGCAAATCCAGAGCCTCAGCAATGTGAACAAATTTGCTTTGTGCCCTTAAATCCTAACTTATATTGAAAAACAATCCCTACTATTTGATACATCGGTTTGCCTGTTACAAACTATGTGCACATAAATACAAATAGCAACTGAATTACAAGTGAGAAATCCAGTAATCTTCCTCATAATAAAGGAAGATCTTTAAACCTTTTTCTTCTTTCTAAAAGTCAAGTTGTTTCAGCTTCTGACCCCTTCCTTACATTAATGTCTTCAAGCTGTCAGCCTTTCACTCAGTTGGTCTGTTAAGATGTTTCTAGATGGCTTGGCATGACATCAGTTTGCTTAAATATTTTCTGCAGCATTCTGACCATAATAGATGTAATTATGATGTATTAAACTCTTATCAGTGGGAGCAAGAGCACAGGAGAAAGCAAGAATGGTAATGTCAGTATGGTTTGCAATCACCTGTTGACTTGGATGGTTTTTATTCTCCAGGAATAAAAGGTTTCTTTTAATGCTGCTTCTTAGAGTCAAATTCACAAATAATTTAACCACTCCGAAAAAAAAAAAAACCAGTCTACATGTATTTAATAGGCGTACTTCAACCCTAAATTGAAATCTCTAGGGGATTATTTATGAAGTTGCTGGTAAGAGCATCAATGTTTTTATTATTTTAGAGATGGCTTGAAAACAAAACAAAACTAATATTATTGTTTTTATTATACTCTGTGATGAGGAAATTATATATTTGTCCTGATAAAGGAGTGACCTGTAATTCTGTGTATGTTTCAAGTACTTGTAAATGAAGCTTGGTAGTAAAGGAATTGAAGTCCTTGAAGAGAAAAGGGAAAGTTAAAGTTTCTGGTTTTGTGTTAAGAGATTGTTCTTTTAGAAAGGCACTTCTCTCCAGACTAGCCGTAAGCCTAGAATTTACTGTTTTCATAATTCTGAGCAGAATTATAAAGGCTTCAAATAAATTATTAACTATGCATATTTGTACTTAGTTTATAGTTCATGTTGTTAATGATGAATTTATAACTGCCTCCTAAACTGTACAGATCTGTGAAAAATAGATTTCATCATAAAAGTTATTTTGGATAAAAATTACCAAGTTGATATTATGTTCATATAATTAACACATTCAGAAGTTTCCCAGCAAATTGCTTACCTCTTAATTCTGTTCATTTATTCTAGAATTCTTTTGGATCATTGGGTATGTTACAGATGTTTTGGAAAAGGTGTGTGTGCTAAGTAAGTTTAGCTGTAATTGGTATTGCTTGTGATTGCATCATTGAGGTCTTTTACTACATGTATGTGACTTACGTAAGACATGTTACTCTGTGATACTGCAGTTTCAGAGAGAATCCCTCTATGTATGAGATTTGCATTTCTATTTTACATTTACTCTTGTGATGGTCTTTTTAAATTTCAAAGAAATATTCTTACTCCTTTTTGCCAGTCAATTCAATTACTTCTGCCTGGAAACACATCATCATAACCTAACCAGCCAGGAGGTGACATGTAAACTTTTTGACATGTTCCTCATTGGCAGCTTGCCCTTGAGAATATATTAAAGGATATTCTGGAAAACCTTTTTAGCAAACCTAATACAGAGCCCCTTTTGTCCTGTTACCTGTAAGCATTTCAGTGGTGAGCATTGTCTTCATTTTACATCAGGACCTAGAAATCTTTGATTTTTTTATATCTTACATTTGTGTATCTCTTTATGGTTTAAGTTGTGCCCATATGCTGATTTAATTCAGCAAATGTTTGAGCATATATTTAAACTCTTTGTTAGGTGCTGTGAGAGAGAGGAAGGCAAATAAAACATAGAGCATCCCTCTAGAGGTTATATTCAGTAGGAGACAGACTTGTAACACGTTTATCTGTGTGGTAGGTAGTGATATAAACCTCATTTTACAGATGAGGAATCAGGCTCAGAGAGATTAAGTGATATACCCAAAGGTTTGTGGCAGTGAAGTTGAGGGTAGGATAAAACGAAGGAATTGAAGGCCCAATTTCTGTTCTCTTTCAAATTTACACACTGCCTTTCTTTAAATTTGAAATAATGTGATAAAAATGATTGAGTCATCCTCTTGAATTCAGTTACCAGTTTAATTTAAGAACCCTAAAAAGCCTTAATTTCTGGCCCATGGTTCCTAAGCCAGGTACCTTTTTGCTCTGCTGTTTTCCAGAGACTACTTTTGTCAAGTTCACC